CATGTCAGTCTCAATCAAATCTTCTGGTCCTTTACCAAGCTTGTGAAAAGTAGTATAAGGCATTAGATTAACAGAGACACCTCCATCAACCAACATTATACTCATCGACTTTCCATCGATAAAACCTTTCACATATAAAGCCTTCAAATACCGATGCTTAACTGGTTTATCAAATATAGCTTGCTGTATCAATGTCAACTGGGCTGTCATCTCTTCATTCTCTGATTCATCAAAATCCGAATAAACTTCTTGATCTGTTGGAGCTTTAAATTCAGATGGTAAAGAAAAGCCATTTGAATATTAGCCGGTGGTTGACCCTTATCGGCTGTTTGTTTAGCACGCCATACTTGCGGTTTACCAGATTTCTGAGCCTGTTCTAATTCTCTGCTCCTTAGGCATTGTACTCTTCTCTTTGACTTCATGTTAAACCTCTGGACATCACTGTCCTTCCTACCAAATATACTCTTCATCATCTTCTTCTTCATAATTGACCCAATTCTGATCAACAACTCGCTTTCCAAGCCGATCATGAATGCTTGTATTTTTAAGCGCCTATCCACATCATTATGTTGATATTCAATTCGATCATGGATAGACCGGCAGTTGACTTAAGATTGCATAAACTTTCAATATTGTTCGCTATATTCTAGGCAATTATTTCTAGTAGGCAATCTCAAACCTTTATTCCAATAATGTCTGAAGAAAAAGCAATTTCAATGTGACTAAGCTTGTTCTCTTTCATATCTCTCTTCTTCTTTCTGACGTTGGTATTCATTCTCTTCTAACTAGTGTTGATAATCTTTCTCCTTCTGCCGTTGCTATTTATTCAACAGAATTCAAGATGTAACACGTGGTCTCATTGCATCATCTCTCGACATTTCTCCCTACTCATATCGGCTCTTTTGTTGGTCACGACACCTTTTAATTTCTATATATTCATCAGCCGATATTTGCATCTCCGGATCAACTGTTCTAGTTTCTCTTACCCTAGCTGATGTCAAAACTTTAGTTTTCCCTATGAACAACTTAGCATCAACCATGTTATAATCCTTTGGAAAAGGATTATCATCCACTTTCATTTTTCGAGCTGTATCAAATTTAAGCTTCTCTTGTTGAATATCCCTCTGAATATGCTGCCGAAAAATCCTACAATCATTAGTAGTATGAGAAGTAGTGTTATGGATACTTACAGACCTTCTTATTCTTCAACTGATCGAAAGGTAATATAACATAATTGGTAGACAATTTAATCTGTCCATTCTCAAGCAAGAAATCAAAAAGTTTGTCTGCTTTTGTAACATCATAATCATAACTTTCTTCAACTTTTTTCTCCAAGGATTTGGAACCATTACTATCCTTTTACCCCAATTCTATTCAGCTCGACAATTTCCTCTTCTTCATCATCATTGACTAAATATGGATTATAAGCTTCAGCGATTGCAACATTCTTCTAAAATCGGGTATCTCTGTGCATATTCTAGAACTGACTATTAAGTGCTGCCACCCGTTGAACTAATTGACCTAAATTATTAAATTCTTGCCCAAACAGTTTTTCTTTTCATGTTGGCAACATTCCTCGAACGACCAACGCATCTAGCTGATCATCAGTCAAATTCAACAAAAAGCATAAGTTCTTTGTTTCTCAGAACCTCTGAAGGAAATCAACTCCCGATTCATTGGCTCTTTACTTTATAGTTGTCAAATATGTGATATTTCTTTTCCCTATCCTAGTGTAGAAATATGTATGAATTTTTTTCCAAGATCACTTCAATTGGCAATAGAATTAACCGCTAGTGATGAAAACCAAGTGAAAGTTGGTCCTGACAGGGATAAAGAGAAGAAACGAACTCAATGCGCTTCTTCAACAGAGACTTCACCCAACTGAGTAAGATATCGACTGACATGTTCTATTGTACTTGTGCTATCTTGACCAGTGAACTTAACAAATTCTGGAAGCCTGTAGTTCGTAGGAAGGGCCACCAAATCATAATACTCTGGATATGGACGTTTGTACGAAAAAGTCTGTCCTTTTGGTTTTAAACCAAACTGATTTTTTATCATTTTGGTTACCCTGAGCAATAATTCATCAACACTTGAGTTTGAATTTCTTGGCAATTGCTGATCCATCTGCAGATTGAAATTTTGAGTGCCTTAATGTCATGAATTTATAATCATATTGAGGGTATTATAATCTAAACCATAATAAAATTATTGTAGAATATCTATCTATCGGGCCCCTTACTGATTTACTGTTTGAAATCTCTGATTGAAAACATTAGGATCTGTATCTCTACGAATCCTTTGAACCGATGGTGCTATTTTTTGAGCCGGCGGTGGTATTTTACCTGATGTACCAAAATTAACAATTTAATTCTGAACTTGCCCTGTCGGCTGCTGCGCATGCTGTACTAATGATCAAGGGTTATATTGCATTTGATTAGTAGTATCACCTTGAATTTACTCAGATGAATTTTGAATTGCCTGGGCATCATTACTCTTAGCTAGTGCCGCTTCTTGATGGCTAGTACCGGTTTGATTAGTCCCCTGAGTCGACGGATACGAAATATTGTAATAAGCCAGTCCAATCCAACCAAGTGAAAATCCATGAAACACATCCTTCATGATATTGTGGAATGTATTTAAGAAAGCTGTATTATGATTCAACATTGCATCATGAATAGATTTGTTAACAGCTTCTACAAAGAAACGTCTATCATCAGTTTCGTCTGTATCTGACTATCCATGCATCCAAACTCTCGACGGTGGATATTTCTGAACAACTTTATTGTCACGTATTTTGGTGTATGACAACAAGCACTTGTTCTGAAACTCCTTTATAGCCTTACCAATGACATCTGTATCTTCATCAGGTAAGTCTTCATAAGGTACCATAAGAATGTCCTTGTTGTTGTGAAACATTATAACGATTGTGGTCCCACCAGACGTGCTAAAAAGTGTGTTGACACAAAAATATGACGATATGATTAACACACAGCAAGCCGGATGATCTGAGTGGAACGAGACCAGAGATCTGTTTGGCTTCAACACAGAACTAGCCGATTCTGAAAACCTAACGACGTGCCAGTCAATTTGTCCTACAATTGATAAGGAGAAAAAATTTTATCAGTAATTTAAGGTGGAACATGTCGGTGTCGTACCAGACAGTTCCAAATGTACGGCTCGATAGCCGATTCAATAAGGTTGTCGACTAAATAGTCGATATCCGGCGTGTCCATAAGAAGCGATATAAGAAAACATCATCGGCTAAATGGAACATGATCGATATAGAGTGTCGAGCCGATAAATTTGATGAAAAGAGTATAACATGGAAACAAATCGACTGTCTAATATAAATGAATCTACAAACAGTTTAAATCTAATCTATTATCATCAACAGTGAGGTTCGATCGGATCAATGCATCTATGATAATAATAACAAACTAAAGCTAAAGAATGTATATTCTTGGAATAAAAGAAAACTTTCTAACTTAATAATAAATTGGACCCTAATTTTTCTTATTTGTAGAGTCCGACACATCTTCATGGCGCCGTTCAAGCATAGCCCATTAACGCCGCCTGCTAACGTCATCTATAAAATAGCCGATTCTGACATCGTATCAAAATCAGCTGATACCGATTCACATTTAATCGATTCTTTAATAACACAATCCTAAAAGTTTTGAGTTTTCACGTTCCTCCTCCTAAATTTTGTTGTAAACAATCGTATCCCCATGCACCAGCAGAGAGAACGCGGTTCAGGTAGAAGTGTAGAACCTGATTGGTTTCTGGTCCAGGGAAGCTCGTCTCGAACTTGTCAATCAGACGACCCGTGCTGGCCAGGATCGTCTGATGCAAGGCCTGTTTGATCTGTTATCGGTTCACACGCAGTCAAACCAAGAACTTTTGATTGGTCGTCACATCTGCGTGCCACTCTATGCCATCCCTGTATTCGCCATGCACTGCCAGGCTGCGGAGAAAAAAAATTCCATGGTGTTTTCCATGGGCTAGGCTACAAGGAAATCTTTGCAACACATCTAGGGAACCAATCGTCTTAAACTTACACCAGACTGGCCAAGTCAAATAATATATATATATATATATATATAGACACACGCAGGGTACCAATCACGTATCCGGGGGCCGGGGCTCGTTTGTTTAGGCTTTTTAGGAGTTTTTGAGCTTAGCTTCAAAATCAAGAAAAAGTCCGGAAAGCTAAAAATCAGAAGACAGAAGCTTACTATAGTAAGCTTTTAGACTTTTGGCTTACGAGAGTTGTTTGCCTTTTGGAAAGTGATAATACTCTAAAGCGATCAATGAGCTGTTTGGCTGATAGATTTTGCGGCTAATAAGTCAATTGATGCTGTTTTGCCTTTAATTTTCTGCGTCTTCCTATTTTGCAGACAGGTCGCACCGCACACACGAGGCGCATATGCAACGGCCAACAGGCAGTACCAACACGAATTTTTTTAACTAATATTTTTTAATGATTAATTACAAATCTAGTATTTAGATTATAAGAATTATAAATATAGTGTGATGTCGGCTTCGGGCTAGACGATAACTAGTGGGCCGACAGGTCCCTGTCGGCGACCATCAGCCGACTAGGTAAGCCAGACAAGACAGCCCGGTGGGCTCAGTGGACCCATATCGACCCGACAGACATATTGGCACCTGGTTGGCTGATAGGTCCCAGTCGACCCTCCAACTACCGACGGGCTGTTTTGGCTGGTGTTGACTGCCACATGTGCGCCAGTAGGCCTATCAGCTAATGAGGAACCGACAGGTTCTATCGGCCGTTGAGCGGCCAACAGGATGTTATAGGTTAAATTTATGTATAACAGCTTTTAGATTTACGATTAATCATTAAAAAATTTATTTAAAAAAAATCGTACCAACGCGGCCTCCTCCCTCCCTCCTGCAGCCCAGCCGGCCGCCGAGCCCGATCCCGTCTAATTCGCTCGCCGCGCCGGCCCCGATCCGGCGCATCGCGTCAGCCCCACATGTACCAGTGGCGCAAGTTCGAGTTTTTTGAGGAGAAGTCGGCCAGCCGCGGCGGCGGCGGCGGGGGGTCAGCCGCCGCCGTGCCGGCCGAGATCGCGGGCCGCATCACCTGCTGCTCGGGCGGTCGGGGGCGTGTTGCGGTGGGGTGCGACGACGGCACCGTGGGCCTTCTCGACCGCGGGTTCCGCCTCTCCTATAGTTTCCAGGCCTACGCCTCGTCCGTCCTCTTCCTCCAGCAGCTCAAGGTACGCCCACAACCCTTGTTGCGCATCTGAAGCAGCGTCGTTCGCGGCCACCTCGCAAATTTATGCAACTTCTCGGCAAATTACTGGTCAGAACAATAGTTAGTGGTTCCTAGTTCCTACCACTGGATCATGTGTAACTCACTAGCTTGGGTGCATTATTAGAAACAAAAACTACTTGCTTCTTCTTACTACTTGAAAATCATCTGCTAGGTATGACAAGCCATGCGAGTCTTGTACTGTGGCTGAATAAGCAATGCCAAAAACCGTTCCTGAAATTGGACAAATCTTGTTGGATTAGTTGATTTTGTCAACTTTTAAGATCAGTGATTTTGTTTATTCTGGCCTATCAAATTCCCTACTCTCTGGGGGGAAAAGAACTCGGTTCAATTGCGGGTACCAGTACCATGTATCATTCGCTAATTGAGATCTATGTATTGCCCCATACTGCTGTGTCAAACATTTATTCACACTGTACAGTTTTATTGTGATAACTACAGCTACATAATGAACCTAATTAACAACTTATATTGGTCTGTTTGATCAGCAAAGAAATGTTCTTGTCACGGTTGGAGACGATGACCAGTCATCTTCTCAATCATCAGCAATCTGTCTAAAGGTTTTCGACCTCGATAAAGTGCAAGAAGAAGGATCAAGTACAACAACTCCTTTCTGTGTTCAAATTTTGCGGGTCTTCACTGATCAATTTCCTCAAGCAAAGGTAAGTTTTTTTTTCCCCATTTTGGTGCGCATGTTGTGTATGTCATATTATCTTTTGTTATAATAATTCATATATATGAAGCGAATGGTAACATCTGATTCTAGTATAATTGGCATATTTTGCTGTGTTTTGTAGATTACATCATTTATGGTTCTAGAAGAAGCACCACCCATACTGTTGATTGCCATTGGACTGGACAATGGTTTCATTTATTGCATCAAAGGTGACATTGCACGTGAGCGTATTACACGTTTCAAGTTGCAAGTTGAGGCTGCTTCAGATGGCAGCACTAGTTTTCCTATTACTGGTCTTGGTTTCCGAGTTGAGGGGCAAGCACACCAGCTCTTTTCTGTAACTCCTGGCTCTGTAACCTTGTTCAGCTTGCATGTTCAACCACCAAGGAGACAAACACTTGATCAGATTGGTTGTCAGACCAATGCTGTAGCAATGAGTGACCGTATGGTAAGGATGGATTTGAGCACACTCATCCTTTTTCCTTTTATTTAATCCTATAGCAATATGGGTCATGATTTTGTTGGTAGCCTATGTGCTTTAGGATGCAGCTCACAACTTGAACTAAGTTTTGTTAACCGGGACCGTGTGGCTAGTTTGGTAGCATAACTATCAGCTCTAACTGCAACGTACAAAATAATGTAGCGGTTTAATTTCTTACCATAAATTATGTCCTGTGATACCCTACTCTTGTGAGGTAATGCATGCCCATTGACCAAACAGTTTTGTAGTCTATTGTAGTTATTCAGCAAAGCTGCTAGCCTGTTACTGAAAGAACTCTCAGTCCACCAGATATCTACCCAATTGATTACAGATGATGGCCAAGTGGGTTTGTCCGCAAGATGATGTATACATAATTTTTTTGGAAAACCTTAGCTGGGTTTAGTTTGAGCAACTGATTAAACTTTTTTTAGCATGTATTTGATTACTATGGTCATGCCTATGTTGCTCTCATACATTTGCATTTTGTATTCAGATTGATCTCGTTGAACTGCAAACCTTACATATTTTATGTTCACCAAGCAGGACTTAATTATTGGTAGACCCGAAGCTGTGTATTTCTATGAAGTCGATGGTAGAGGCCCTTGCTGGGCATTTGATGGTGAGAAAAAGTTTGTAGGTTGGTTTCGAGGCTATTTACTCTGCATTATTGAAGATCAGAGGACACAGAAGAGCACTCTTAATATTTATGATCTTAAGAATCGGTTGATTGCACATAGCATGCCTGTGGGGGATGTTTCACACTTGGTATGTGAGTGGGGTTATATTATTCTCATAATGGCGGACAAAAAGATTCTGTGTATTGGAGAGAAAGACATGGAAAGTAAGCTTGATATGTTGTTCAAGAAAAATCTTTATACCGTTGCAATTAATCTTGTACAAAGTCAGCAGGCTGATCCTGCTTCCACTGCTGAGGTGCTGCGGAAGTATGGTGACCATCTGTATGGAAAACAGGAATATGATGAGGCCATGTCCCAGTATATCCACACTATTGGTCATCTCGAACCATCGTATGTTATACAGAAGTTCCATGATGCAAAGCGCATCTACAACCTTACAAATTATTTAGAGAAGTTACATGATCGAGGGTTAGCATCCAAAGACCACACCACCCTTCTGTTGAACTGCTATACCAAATTGAAAGATGTGGAGAAACTTAACCATTTCATCAAAGATGAAGATGGGGTAGGTGAAATCAAGTTCGATGTGGAAACTGCCATAAGAGTATGCCGCGCAGCTGGATATCATGAACATGCTATGTTTGTGGCAAAAAAGGCTGGGAGGCATGAGTTGTACTTGAAGATTTTACTTGAGGATCTTGGTAGATATGACGAGGCACTGCAATATATATCTGGCCTCGAGGCAAATCAAGCAGGTCTTACTGTAAAAGAATACGGGAAAATTCTTGTGGAACATAGACCTGCTGAAACAGTTGAAATACTGTTAAGGCTCTGTACAGATGTTGGAGATCCTACCACAAGAAGAGGTTCAAACAGTATGCACTTGCTTATGATACCATCCCCAATGGACTTTGTGAATATATTTGTGCACAGCCCACAATATCTGATGGAATTTCTGGAAAATTATATCAAAGCAGTGACGGACTCACCTGCGCAAACAGAAATTCATAACACCCTTCTGGAGCTCTATATTTCAAATGATTTGAGCTTCCCATCTCTTTCTCAAGAAACTGAATCTGAGAATCAGTATACCAAAGAAACAAAAGGTAAAGAAACTGCTAATGGCTATAGGTCAGGAATAAAGGAAAAAGGTAGTCTTGGAAAAGAAGATCCTAAAATCGCAAAGAATATTGTTGATAGGAGAAGGAAAGGGCTTGCGTTACTCAAGTCTGCTTGGACATCTGAGATGGAAGATCCTTTGTATGATGTTGATCTTGCTCTCATTCTTTGTAATACTAATGCATTCAAAGATGGGTTGCTCTTTCTATATGAGAAACTAAAACTTTACAAAGAGGTTATTAGTTGTTACAAGCAAGCACATGATCATCAAGGTTTAATTGCATGTTGCAAGAAGTTGGGGGACTCATCTCAAGGAGGGGATCCTTCTCTGTGGGGTGACCTATTGAAGTATTTTGGGGAGCTCGGGGAAGATTGCTCTAAAGAAGTTAAAGAGGTCTTGACCTACATTGAGAAGGAGGATGTTGTGCCTCCCATCGTTGTGCTACAGACACTATCAAAAAACCCATGCTTGACACTCTCAGTTGTCAAAGACTACATTGCTCGCAAACTTGAGCAAGAATCAAAGCTAATTGAAGATGATAGAAAATTCATTGATAAGTATCAGGTTAGTAACTTGGAAGTCATTGCAGTATCTATTTCCCATTGCTATTCTTAGTCTTATTTTTTTATAATATTTAGGAGTAGGCATTAGCATTGCTTGGTTCATTGACAAATAGAAGATGAAAAAAGCAATACTCTAGATATAGTACAAAGCAGGCTCAGTTTAAAATTAGTACTTGGGAAATTGGTGTTGAGATGATGTTGTTTTTCAGATATAGATTCTTTAAGATGTCCTGCTTCACCCCTAGTTCTTTAAAATTACCAAACATTGCGGCTGGAGGTAGCACAGCATCCAGCAGTTATTCTCAGTTTACTACCAGGTCCCTTTACATGTGATGAACCCATGTATGGAGGCACCTGAACATATTTCTCCACTAACTGGGTTTTCCTTTGATAGGAAAAGTGTTTGTATTGGGACATGTCTCCCAGTTCACTGAATTTTGACAGTTGTCTTTTGCATAACATGCCCTATTGTGAATGTTATTTAAGATAGTTTTTTTTTTCACTTTTATTTAATCATGCATCATAATATGATTAGCTAACTGTTCATACTTTTTTTAGGACAGTGCCATTTTTTTAATATGCTAATTACTCTCATGTCAAGAGCGGTTAGGTTAATATGGGCAAATATTGTAGAATAGCTTGTTTGGTGGAGCTTCCAGTTGATATGCTGCCCACTTAGGCTCGAACAAGGGTTCTAGGCTACTAGGAAGTTGTGTCTACCTAGAGGGTCTTGTACTCCCCTTTCCCAAGATTGGCAGGGAGTTCTCTCACTGTGGAGCATGTCAGTATGACATTGAAATTAGAATATCTGATTACATTTTGTTTCCATGGTAGCAATGAAATTTACTAGAGTTTCACTTGAATAGAATAATGCTCTATTGGTAATGCAAATTGATCATGTCTATAAATTGACATTCCTATAACAAGCACACTCACAAGAATATCTTTTTCTATTTCTTGTGTATAAAAGAGTGCACATCATAACCTTTCTTAGATGTAGCATGATTTATGAGCGGATGTTTGAAATTTTTGTAAGAATGAGTCTACATCAATTGAGATAAGGAACATGCTGTGAAACAAATACCATTTTTTTTCAGGGGGAGACAGAGCTGATGAAAAGGGAGATAGAAGATCTCAAGACAAACGCGAAGGTTTTCCGACTGAGCAAGTGTAGTGCGTGCACTTTCACCCTTGGTCTGCCTGCTGTCCATTTCATGTGCATGCACTCGTTCCACCTGCGCTGCCTTGGTGACAATGAAAAAGAATGCCCAGAATGTGCACCTGAATATAGATCTGTTATGGAGGCAAAGCAGAAGCTAGAACAAAATGCTAGGGACCATGACCTATTTTTCAGGCAATTGAGGGGTTCGAAGGACGGCTTTTCTGTCATTGCAGACTATTTTAGCAAGGGCATAGTGAGCAAGACAACCGTACCTCCTGAGAACGGACGATAGGGAAGGACCACTGGTACTCCGTTGCCGCCTTGTACAGCATTTATATGGTGTTAGACCGTCTCCAACGAGGAAGACCTAAACGTGAGACGCATTCGGTAGATTGGGTCACGCACAGTAGAATGGATATGCAGCCAAAACTCCCGTTTTCCAACCGAGGACGCAAAAGAGAAGCAGAACGGCGAGCTCGGCCCCGGCGCGGGCGCGCTCGGCCCCGGTGAGCTCGGCCCCGGCGCGGGCGAGCTCCACCCCAGCGCGCTCGGCCCCGGCGCACTTCGCCCTAGCGAGCTTGGCCCCGGCGCGGGCGCGCTCCGCCCTGACGCGCTCGGCCCCGGCGCACTCCGCCCCGGCGAGCTCGGACCCGGCGCGCCCCGGCGAGCTCGGACCCGGCGCGCCCCGGTGAGCTCGGACCCGGCGCGGGCGAGCTCCGCCCCGGCGACGGTCGTCCCCCGAGCTCCGCCCCGGCTCCGGTCGTCCCCGAGCTCGTGGTGGTGGGACCCGGCTGCGTGGAGGAGACGCAAAGGAACGAGAGAGGACGCAAATTTGGGTACCGTGTTTCATCGGACGCAAAATGGCTGCTGTGTTTGGGTAGTCCGTTGGAAGGTGATTTTTCCACGTAAAAGCACTGTGCACTACCCAAAATGCGTATGGGTCACGGTTTGGGTAGTCCGTTGGAGACAATCTTATTTCCCTTTCTTCGCAGTTGTTGATATGCGAGTGTTTCTGCGTTCATCAATTATAGCAGGAAGTACAGATAGCAAGCTTCTTTCATGCACCGGGTTATGTTTTCTGGCCTGTTTCATCCATGGCGTGAGGTGTTTTTAAAAAAAAAAATAGGTTTGGCATTGTAAATACTCATTTCCGGCAGCCCCTTTCTCAAGCCCAAATGATTTTGCTTAGACATTGCTGCAGTTTCCAGCATTGAGTTTTGATGCTTGGCTCGCGCCATTCTCTGTTTGAAAGCAGCAGTATTGTATGGATCGCATTTTCGTATGTTTCAGCTTCTATCTGGTTTTGTAGCATGTAGTCATGCTTTGTTGCGAGCATTGATCCTACTGCTTGCGACATGCATTTCGCAATCTATGACAAATTTCTGAGACGCCACTGCTTAATCTTCGGATTAGAATCGTACTTCAGTCTTCCTGACTTTATTATTGCATGGCCTTACTGCCATGCGAACTCTGAACATGCCTGAGTTACTATTTGCAGTTGCACAGCTTGATTGCCCCTGCTACGGAATGCAGAGAGCGCATGTCAAGTACGATGGTTACTGGATCACACGATTGGGGTGTTCCCTTGGTCCGTAATGCTGCGCTACAGAAGAATTCGTTTCTTGCATTGTACTCCATATGATTCATCTGAACCACGATCAAAGCTCCAACTACTGCTGGCCCTATTAGGGGCCTCTTTGGATTGGAGGAAATCCAAAGGAAATTCATAGGAATCAATTCCTTTGGAAATGTTTCTAGAAATGCTGTTTGGAATGAAGGAAACTTCAACAGTAAAATAAAGGAAAGTTTCCTATCTCCATTTATTTCACGGGAAACAAAACATTCAGTCCAAACCAATGGATTCACGAAGACCGAGACAACAGGAGAAGAGAAACAAAAAAAAAATATTACTTCCTACGTTTTTTCTGTGTTATGGATTCCTGTGTTCCAAACACCCCTTCTAGTTATTTTTCGCGTTTTTCCTTTCCTCTGTTTTACTACTACACACTCACCCCATTCCTGCGTTTTTTTCTATTCTTGTGTTTTTGATTCCTGCGTTCCAAACAGGCCCGACATGGAGATGTTCCACTGAAATAAAAGTAGTAGTAGTATGTATCAGGGAAAAGAAAACACTATGGATTGTAGCAGGGGACAGGAGAGAATGGCAAGAGATCTAGGATCATTTGCGGCTAGACGGTGGTAGTACGGGTATTCGTGTGTACGTCCGTCACAGTTCGCAATTTCCCGTTTCCGTTTTTCCCGAGTAAACGGTATATGATCGGTTCGGTACGGGATTATTTTTTCATCCCTGGTTGGAGGCCACACGCCGTACTATGTACAAGTGCCTTTGTATATGTATGATGATTTCGTGTCGTGAGACTGTCTCTGTCATGCGTACCTAGAAAGCGAGTCATCAGCAGCAAGTCTGTCATGAGACCTCATGTTTTGCCGCGTCTTCTAATCCTACGCGGCTACACACCACGGTGCAACGTCTTTTGATTGCATTGGGTTCCTGGTTTCGTTGCAAAAGCTAAGCCCTGATGCTGTCAAGGCGAGAGAGGTCGACGCGGTGGCCGTCAACGAAGCTAGGGTGGTGTACGTAGAGTCAAATAATCATTCCTCAGCCGCCAACCCTAGTCCCGACGCTCCTGGCGGCGCACAACCTGTTCGCTTGCTCGTAAACGATCGTAAATTTCCAGCCAGGAACAGTGTTTTTCTCTCACACCAAACCAGCCAACAGTAAATAATCCACGATACGATACGGCCTCCCGAACAGGCTGGCAATCCTCGCTGCCGGCGCCCGCCACCCCCTCCCCTCCTCGCCCCAGATCCACTCTCTCTAGATCCACCGGCCCCTTCCTCCCCGGATCTACATGCATGAAATGCGGGGCAAGGCTTAGTGCTCGCCAACAACAACGCCATGCGCACGCGCCCTCTCCCCTCCCGATGAAGGTGCGTCGTCACCGGCGCCACGGATAAGTATGAAACATGCTTATTATCTTAGCAACCGCATGACGGCTCGCGCGATTTGCGATAAAACCGAACCCGACGCCACTTACTCAGGGCGTCGGCCGTTGCCACAATCGATGCCGCGAGCACCGGATCGGACCGCCGACTCCACTCGCAGCGGCCGCACGGGGCCCGTGGCGGTTGCCTCCGTCCCCAGCCTGGCGAGGAGATGTCGCGGCGCGCGTCGGGCGCCGCCGCCGCTGGACGCGTGGCTAGCGTCGTCCTCACCGCTCTTCGACATCGGCGGCGGGCGCGCAGCGACGCCGCCGGCATCCTCCTCAACACTCCGCCGCCTAGACCCCAAACGGTTCAACCACCGCCGCGGCCTCGCCGCCGAGGGCAGAAATGCATCCGTGGGGGGCCCGGTGATCTGGGGCTCCCCGTCCACTGCGGGCTACACTAGAGGCGCCGTCGCCACCGGGTGCCACCACCTCCGAGCCCAAACCTGCCGCCGTGTCTGACACGGTTGGAGGGATGGTGGATGAGACGATGGTCGACGTCGAGGACGTCCTAGATGACGAGGACGAGGAGGAGGATGCGGCACACTCAGGCAGGCCCTCGTCGTCCCCCCTCTCCGTGCATGCCCCCCTTCTTCCCCGCCCGTCGGTTGGTGGCAGGAGCAAGTCCCGGCGTTGGGAGGATGACCTGGTGTGGGTAGCTCCGACGACGAACTCGCCTCTTCTGCCACACGCTCGTCGTACCTGGACGCTACTCGCAAGGCTCTCACGCCACGCCCTCCCGCAGACGGGGGGGGCAATAGCGATAAGCGCATGGCGCGCAGATGGAGGGAACGATCCGGTACGTGAAGGGGAGCGGCGTCGATCGGCGTCATCGACGCAGGACCGCTACGCCAAACGGCCATGGGACTCAACCATTGAACGCCGCGCGTGTGCCCGCGCAGCGTCGCCTTGGCTCGCAGCCAACGCGAGAGTTCCGGTGCACCAACGACTCGGTCCGCGGTGGCTAACACTAGGCAACCCCATCGTGGGCCCAAGGTCGACGCCGATGGATTCCATATTGTCGAGAGCCGTCGTCATCGGCGCTATCCGAGGAGTACAGAAACCAAATGCCACCGCCCGTCAACTTCGCCGGAGCTTGTAGGGGCTCGCTTCAATCGCCTCGCGATGACCACATCACCACTAAAGTTTGTCGCTTCCTAGCATTCCGCCGCTTACGCTTTGGGTATTAGCCATCGGGCGGCGGTGCAAGCCTTCATCCTCGGTGGCGCGTCGCCCTAGGGAACATCACCCTGATGTCCCGAGGCGACCTAGCTTGTCGCCGGATTGTCACGCCGCGATAGGCCAGAGGCCCACATCGTCGTCGCCTTGTCGTGTGCCGCGGTCGGATGCGCTGTCATTGTCGCCGCAATAGCACCACAACAGCAGCCTGCCGGCTTCACCACCTTCGGGTGCCGTTGATAACCGCCCCATGGTTGAGGTCTTCGTCGTCCAAAGGAACGTGGAGCTCGCCGCGTCCAGAGCGGACTTCCTCCTTGTCCTTGTCGAACTCGTTGGACTCCAGCCAGCCTTCACGTCGGAGGAGCTCCAGGAACACCTTTCCTCGAGGTTCCGTGTATCTGTGGGCACGGCTGGGGTCTGTGCTTGGCTCGGGGGACCCTTTGCACGTAAGGGTCAGTAGGACGGCCACCCTAGCGTGGCTATGCAGGAAGGCGGGCAAACGGTGCACCTTGAGCTTCAGCTCGAAGTGGACCATTGCTCGGAGGTTCAACATGGGGATTTTGATCTCATGTTGGTTGAGGTGGAGGCATGCCTGGCCAAAGGGCCACCTCAGGCAGGTCTCACGAGCCAGGGCGTGTCGGAGGTGGCCTAGGCGGTGGACCTGTACCTTTCAGGCTTAGACGAGTGTGGCTCGGGCCAAACCTCACCAAGGCCCTTACTCTTGGAGTCGGAGCAGGCTGGGGGATCCCCACCCCCGGTCTAGGTCGACTTCCTCGCCATCTAGGAAGGGGCAAACGGAGGCGGACCCGCCATTCCGGCTGCTGTTGGCACAGCGCCTAACGCGACGGCCGTGACGTCGACTGAGGACTTCATCGCTGCATTCAAGAAGCCGCTCATGATGCCTGTCTTGTCGTTGCCTCCACGAATGCGGCTAACCCCGGCGGCCAGAGCACGGGCGAGGGAGCTGGACGACTCAGAGCTCGTCCCCAAGAGGAGCGCTAGGCTTGCCGCCAAGAGCAGGCATAGGGAACAGAAGCCGGAGGCTCAGGCGCGGAAGGTGACGATGAAACGTCTGTGGCTCGAGGAGGTGGAGACTGAGCTACCTGACGAAGCCTCCTTTGAGGAATTCCAGACCGCCTTCGCCCTCTCCCAGTTGACGTCGACGCGGGAAGCCATGCAGGTTCTCTTCCCGGGCAGGAACCAGCGGGCACAGTCGCTCGCTTTTTGTCTTACCGATTTGGTCATAAAACACCTTTCCTTTGTAATTTATCTTAGTGAATCTAGTAGCTAGGTGGCAAGGTGTGTGTTGTGTCATGAAGGCTCCTCGCTTGCGTGAGCGCGCACGGTTGTACTATTAACTGTTTTTCTCCTGATGAAAAACGGGTGAACAAAAAGAGAGGTCGACGCGTGAACAGCCCGCATCATCCGGACCATCGGATCGGAGGCGAGGGCGGGCCATGCCATTCCTGATCGAGTCCCCGAGCAAAATGTTTTGAGACTTTTCCCTGTGTGCCATTATAAAAGATTGTAATCCCCTCTGTGCCTCTGGAAAAATTCAACGGTCTTCAGCGCCACTACTTCAACTTTTTCGGGTCCTCCATGTCACTTCCGTTAATTAGAGGCTCTACTCAGTTGAAGCCTCCTTTGAGGAATTCACCTTCTTACAGTGTGAAAAGGCGAAAAAATGCCCTTAAGTTCAAATATGTTATTAATTTTTTGAGCATCTATTTCTTTGCGATTTTCAAATGAAAAACTCAAAACTAGAAAGTTGTAGATCTAAATGAGATCTATAATTTTCATATAAAATTATTTTATTTAATTCCACAAAAAATGATGATTTTTCTAAGATATATTAATCATATCAAATCATATTTTTTTTAAATTAAATGAAAATAATTTTATATAAAAATTATAGATCTTATAGATCTACAACTTTCTAAAAGATCTTTTTTTCATTTTTGTAAGATGCAAAAAAATTAATAATATAAAAAATTTTGTCTTTTCACATGAAAACGGGTTAAAAGAGAGGTTGACGCGCGAACAGCCCGCATCATCCGGACCATCGGAGAGAGAGGCGAGGGCGGAGGGCTGAATTTTTCCGCAGGAGAGATGTGATCTTTTATCGAGTCCCCGAGAAAAGTCTCAAATGTTTTGTCCATCTGGGCATCTGGCAGATGCTGGTCTGGTCGGGTCGGTCGCAGCGGCGAGCGAAACGCCGTCGGCTCATGCCATGCCTGCACGATTGCTGAAGTGCATTCGGCGTCCGCTGCTGCTGCCCAAGAACTTGCCTTCCAAATTAAAAGAAGAAGAAGAACTTGCCTTTCCGTGCCGATCGGGCCCGTCCACTGGAGTCCAACCCAACCAGATCGGACGGCCTGGCCTGCTGGATCCTGGATCCTGGATCCCATCCCGGACCCGGAGGGCTGTGACCGCTCGGCGCTCGCCAGCCAGCCAGCAACAGTGACCTTCCCTCGCTGCCTGCAGGCTGCAGCAGCCCAGGAGTCCAGCGGTCTATGGCGACGACCAACTGACCACCGACACCGATCTCTCGCGGTCTCGGAGAGGAGTCGCCGGCTGGGCGGGCACGATCCGGTTCCGGCCATGGCGAAGCCGGCGCGGGCGCCGAGGCCGAAGCCGCCGCCGCAGCGGGCGTCCGCCCGGCGGCTCCTCGGCCTCGGCGGGCTGGGCGTCGCGGCGGCGGCGTACGTGGGCGTGGACTACCTGCGGTACCTCTCGCCGGCGTGGCACGGCCGGCTGCAGCCGGCGCTGTGGGCGGCGCTGGCGCTGGCGGCCGCCGCGCGCGCCCCGTTCTACCGCCACTGGTCCGCGGAGCTGCGCGCCGCGCTGCCCTTCCTGGGATCCATCGCCTTCATGCTCGCCGCCTTCCTCTGCGAGGCCATCTCTGTCCGCTTCGTCTCCGCCGTCATGGGGCTGCACTGGCACAGGTCGCTCCTCCTCCTCCTCCTCCTCGTCTTGCCCTTCCCCGGGAACCGGGCCGCGGCTGGCGTGGCGTCGGCTTCTTTCGCCTAGTGATGCTTTGTTGCTTTGGGGGCTTAGGCGCGCTGGATCTCTGAGAGGTTTCGACTTTTGTGAGCTGCAGATTTTGTTTCCGTGCGGTAGGTCGTGCGAATACGCACGAATGTGGAGTTAGTTGTTCATGGAAGGATGGTGTGATCCTACCGCGTTCTCCTCCTCCTTGTGTGGGTGAGGTTTATTAGGGGTTTCTGTTGAGTGTGCGAAATTATTGAAGCTTCTAGACTGAGATTCATGCTGCCAAGGAAGACAGCAGCAATTTGGGATGTCCTGTACAAATTTCTTTGTCCTACTAGGAAGGAAGAATAAGGGAACCATGTGTTTACCATAACAAGCGCTCAAAATATTGCATTTTATTTGCAGCAGGAAGTAGTTCACGGAGACAAGCATATCTGCGATCAGTTAAAACAGAACTTTGTTGATTGGTTGTTGCTATTGACTAGATAGATTAACTTCTGCAACATTGTTAACTTCTTGATAATGTTAACCTTGTGATGCTATCAAGACAATACTTCTACATTTTAATCAATCGGTTAGTGGACTATTTACTTCACAGGTGTTCAATAGTTGTGTCTTTGTTGTTCTGATTCAGTGGTGATTGGCTTTCTAGTGATTGAAGTTCAAGTAAAGCATCAAGGAGAATCTAGAAGTTTAGGGGGTAAGGAAAGCATAAGCATCACTTCAGCTTGGGGCCTGTAGATTCCTTTAGGCATATGTGTCTTCATCATTCTTAAAATCTAATAAACACAAATGATCTAAGGATGCATTTATGCAAGAACTTCGGATCAATTTGGATTTTATACAATTCTTAGATTTTAGTTTGTCTGGTCATGGTTTACCTCTGAATACAATCGCATTTGTGATATCTTGTTTATCACAACCTGACTTCTGTATGAAAGGATTGTGCCGCATCCAGGTCCAGGCAGAGGTTGCCTTTCCATTAGTAAGGAGAGAGTAGCACTACTTTATTGCTAACTTCAACATCTCTCCTTGCATTACTAAACCTTCCCTGAGAACCTTAAAAAAAAACCTTCCCTGAGAAATTTAGCTGTGGGCAAACACCTTCTAATCCGCGTGTAATGCACACATGAATTCAACAAAATCTACACAATCACTTATAAGCTGAAAGTTTTTTCACTGTTTTTTAACAGAACTGCCGCGCCGCTTCCTGACACCGGTCAATGGCTGCTTCTATCATTGAATGAGAAGCTCCCTCAGAGCGTGGTTGATCTACTCAGAGCTCACATTATCACTCTTCACCACTATCTGATGTTGTTTATCATGCTGGGGTTCTCAGTTCTGTTTGACTGCATCAAAGCTCCTGGTCTTGGTATAGCCACAAGATATATGTTCACCATGGCAATTGGTCGTGTACTTCGGACAATAACTTTCATTGCTACCATTCTTCCATCTGCAAGACCTTGGTGTGCTGCAGCCCGTTATCAAATACCTCAACATCCTCATCCTTGGGCACAGAAATATTATGTTCCATATGCTTCTGATTCAAATGCTATTCGTAGAGTCATAACGCATGATATGGCATATGGTTAGTTCATTTTTCCTAGCGCCTAATTGGTTCACCTAGCTGGTATGTCAGTATTTGTACAATGGTGGAGGCTAAACTATTCACGTATACTTTTTCAGCTGCTGTTCAAGCTTACCCAGATGAATATAGGCCCGATTGGGGACGTATGAGCTTCCTTGTAGACATTTTGAGACCAACTCCTGGAGAAGGACCTTCATGGTACCATCTTTTGAAGAAAGCTAGTGGCGGTTGCAATGACCTTATGTACAGTGGACATATGCTTGTTGCTGTCCTTACTGCAATGGCGTGGACGGTATATGTTGTTGTTTTAATCCATATATCACAAAGGCTTCATCATATTGCGCAAAGGGTTCATCATAACCCGTACGACCTTACCTTTGTTTTATCAATTTATCTGTTTCACAGGAAGCATACGGGGGCTGGATCTCTATTGCAATATGGCTCCTCGTCCTGCACAGCGCACAGAGGGAGGTACGTGAGCGGCACCACTACAGCGTGGACTGTGTTGCTGCAATCTACGTCGGCATCCTCCTGTGGAGGATGACGGGGTTCATCTGGACTGCCAGAGACCTGACCCGAGCTAGACGGCTAGCCAAGCTTGAGGAGATCCAGAGCAGGCTGGTCCATGCTGCCAAGGACAGTGACATTGACGAGATCAGGGGCCTGCTGAAGGAGGTGGAGCTAGCCGGCCAGGAGAAGCAGGCTTCTCACATAGAGCTATCCTGACCTTTGCCGCAGGAACAATCATCTTCACCTTGTCTTGTGTTCTTATTGCCTTCACAATGACTAGCGACGGTTGATTTGGGTTCTGTCGGGTGCCCCTGGATCTGAATGTTAGCCACTTTTTCCTGGGCTATACTGTTTTCATGTAGTGTGCTCAGTGTCGTTTGTTGAGGGGAACCATGTTTAAACAGAAATATCTCTATAATTCTAAACCGGAGCCAAGCTCTGCGTTTTCATTGGGCCACGTCGACCAATTTTTCTCTACCGTCCGATTCACGTGCCAGCATTCATCGAGCCGTTGATCTCCTCCTTCGCGAATCCTCTGCCGCGCGGCGAGCCCCCTACATGCGCTGTGAGCTACCGTGCCCGCCCCCTCGTCCGCTACGAGGTGGTCGGCGCCGCTGGGGCCCCCGCCAGCGCCGTGCCCTGCCCCCTCCTCCCCTGCTCGCGCCGGGGTTGCCGGGGCGGCTGCGCTCACAGCCCCGCCCGCGCCGGCGTCACCGGGTCTCCCAGGGGAAGCCGCGCCGAGGGCCACCGAGCTCGCGCCGGTGGAGTCGCGTGCGCCCGGGGGCCGGCCGCATCTCACGTCGGGGAACCGGCCACGCACGCGCCGGGGAGCAACCACGCTGGGGCCACCTCGTCGCCGCGCCGGTGGCCGTGGCGATGCCGTCGCCTTTCTAGTCCGGACTGACACCTGCTCCTGCATCCGGCATTCTCCATCGCAGCGCTCGTCTCCAGGATCCGCGGTGCGACCTCTCCTCTCTCGTCACCAATCATCAGGCGCCCAGCTGCATCTTTGCAAGAACCGATGCCTTTCTGTTCTTGGAACGATATCTGCACTGGGCAACTTTTTTTGTTGCCGCTTGTCGCTTGTGCTGCTGACTGGACGCAGCTCTGCAGCGTTGGAAACATTTTGAGGGATAGTTATGCTTGATCTCGTAGAGATTTTGCCACTTGCAGCACGTTCTTTTACAGGCTAAGTTTCTAGAAGGAGGGCAAACCTACTGACCCAATGGCGTTAGGGAGGGGGATCTCGCTGTTTTTTTATCCGAACAATCTACAGGGCCGTTCTTGTATATATAAGGTATATCCCTTAATTTTGTTTTTTACCTTAATTTTGTTTTGTACAGGCTAAGTGTTTTAAGATCAAAGCTACTTCTTTTGCAAATGAGTCCAAGAAAATATGAATCGAATTACCAAAAATGAAAAAAAAACAGAGAAATTAATGTTAGAAAGGAGCTATGGATGGGTCATGCAACCAGTGTTGACAAATAGTCAAAGCCTCTAGCCACTACTTGTACAGCTAAAATCCGTATAATTGTTGATCATTGAAATGTACTCCTGTGCTAAATTTTACTGTTATATTTTGTTAACTTGCTAGGGCCCATTTTAAATTTAGCACATGGTCTCCATTTATGTCGGTATGGCCCTGCTCATTGCGTTTGCGTCTGATGATGACTGCAGTACTGCTCGTATCTTAGGTGTTGGATCATCCAGGCTTTTAGCTGCTCACCAAAGCAGCTGCAAGATTTCGGTGGTAGAATTGGGGAAAAGAATAATACAGTAGAAAGAAGTTTTTTGTTTCCCTTGGAGTTCCTTTTGTTTCATGCTCTCCTTTCGCTCCCAGCCAATAGTGTTAGTTTTCTGAATGTAATTAGGTTCTCAGGAAAGTGCAGAAAATCCAGCAACCACATCTATTTCATAGTAGAAGCACCAAATCCTTACATATGACTAAGAAAAAGATGGATATAGTAATCATATTCTGAATATTACATATTTAAAGATTTCAACAGCACCACTATAGTCTTACTTTCCAGTTTCCTTCACTACATGCCAGCTATTTGAGCACTTTGGAGTACCATCAGTGCCAGGCCGTTGCTGCAAAATCACACATAACAGTTATACCTTATAAGCATAGTTATGCTTATAAGTGATCAAAACTCGGAAGAGATAAGGATAAAAAATAGTATGAACACGGAAAGTTTCAGAACTTTAAGCTGCTGGTTTGCTCCTTTGATTAGTCGATTCCATCTGCATCCTTGTATTGTGCTCTTGCACTTCCAATCTGCCTGCATTAGCTACATAGCTACATCGATACGAAGGGCATGTTAAATGAAGCTAACATTTCTAACTTTCATCAAGGGTTAAATATTGTGCATTTAGCAATTAATATTGGACAAAAAGAAACATAGACTGGTGGTACTTGCCTTCTGGTGCGAACTTTTGAGTTTTTTTTGGATCAGGAGAGCTAAAGAACACAAATATTTTGTTTGCATTTTCAAGCATCAAAAGCAAATAAGTTTAGATGGAACATCTGGACCTGCCCCAACTCTTGTTTTTACTGTTCATCAGGATATCTTTCAACTATATAGGCTGTTCAGGATTCTTCATAGAACAAATTATTACTTTTAGAGCTCCTAAGAGTAAATAGGGTCAATTGGTGGTGGCATGCATGATAGTAAGATATCATCATTAGATTATTTACTACATATTTCCTCTGTTGACCTTTACTATTTCTAGAATATTGTCTATATTATAGTGGACAATAGTGTTATCAGCTTTATACTCTTATGATTCCAACTGCAAATACAAATGGGAATAATCAGTAGAAATTCGGGTTTTTGTAGATGAAGCCTGTGTTTTATAGATATTAGGTAATTATACTTGAAGAATTAGTCGATCAATTATACAACAAACAAATATCGTTTCTTATACCTGATGCTTAAATTTGTTTGATGCTATACATATCAACGGTTCCAAACTATTAGGTGGATTTCTTTATGTTTACTTCTTATTAGTGCACCACAAAGTCAGTGCATGTTATTACAGTGCTTTAGTTTGACCACTTCTTCGGAAAAAAAACTATACAAACTACAGATTTCAAAGCAAAACTCTGAAACTCATATGCAGTAATGAAGTGTGTATTGTACTCACAAAGTGTACTGATTGCAGTGCCTTAACTATTGCTTCAATTCTCAACGTGACTCTGCTGGCTACGCTATCACATTCAAATAATTTTAGGCATGCACAGAAGGTCACAAGCTAGATGTAAACATATAAAGACCAGTTATTATGTCCTAATCCGATTCCTACAACAAAGAGACAAGATCTATATCTAAAATAAATCTATCTACTTTATCTCTTGGCATCCAACACCACAAGGAAAACCTGGCTCTTAACCTAATTCCGATTGTATGTATGTACATGTATCCTTTTAAATACAGAACATTGCATGTGTTGTTTGAAGTTTGGTTTACTCTTCCTTTGGATCGTTTATTTGTTTACGCACTCAAGGTAAGATCTGTACTTGCTACAACTTTTAGAAAGTTGCAAAATGCATATTCCTATCATCGTAATGTCACATGTAATTATTTACTATTATCATTTGGCATCACTGTATTTTCCTCATTCAGAAATCAATAATAATATTGATTGATGGTCATTCTTATCATCCAAGCAGCGAAAAAGCACAAGCTGTTCCCCACACTGATGGTCTCCATGTACTCATGCACGCATCGCGGACTGGCCCAACACAGGCAGGAGTGCGGCAACGCCGCGCGTGGTTTCTAGTGTAACTAGATCCTAGTGGTGCCAGAATTCATGGATGTTTTGCAGCTGCACGGGAAGCTGATGGTTGTCGGTAACATTTTGGTTGCTGTAATCCCCAGCCAAGTAAGTTTTACTTGAACAGAGCTTCAGGCTTTCATTGCTTGCAAGGCACTGTAGACTGTTGCACAGCTTATACTATTTTGTAATGAGGTAGGCTGTAGCACAGCCTATACTATTTTGTAATGAGACAGTTCCAAAACTTCAGTGTAGCGGATCCTTACAGCTGCAGAATGGCTGAAATATTCACTAGCACTAGCAGAGCTGAGTACCATGTGTGGGTTGTCGTTCCATGGTCGTGTAATTTGACAACAATGACCTTGTGATCGTTTGAGACTCCCTTTTTGGGATCATGTGCCCCTTGTAGTGTGGGTGCTTAGTCCAGTCTGCGTGGAGTTCTAGGTCTATTTGGATCTAGATATTCAGGAACATGGAGTTGAATTAGGGCGTCTCTAACGGTATGAACTAGCACCAGCTCTAAGCTAATAAATATGGTGGAGAGAGAGACTTTTTTGAACATTGTGTTGTGAGAGAGAAATGCATCGTGAAGACTGCGAGACTATCTTTCTGAGTCTATGCTAGTCTCTTGTCTTTTGTACTATTTACAACAACAACAACAACAACAAAGTGTTTAAGTCACAAACAAGTTAGGGTAGGCTAGAGTTGAAACCCAGCAGAAGCAAGTCTTTTGTACTATTTAATGATTAAAAAATTTATGAGCTTACTCTAAGCTAGACCATTAAAGATGTCCTTAGGTTTAATACCAAATGGGTCTAGGTATTGAAATTGGCTTCTGAGAGGCGTCGGTTTGAGGAAAAGGAGGACTGCCGTCGTGGAGAAGAGAAGGGCTCGTCGAGGTCCAGAGGGAAAGAAGAAAACGCCCCGCTGGCTGCAGGATATATTTCTTAACATACAAACCATTGTTGAGCTTTCAAAAAAATGGTGGAGACAAGGAAACATCTTACCTAGCAATTGGTTTATCTTTGCTATTGATGCTAATACTTGTATTGCCTGTCGCCACTGCTATAGTTGAGAGGGTCTTTTTTAGGCATGAACATTGTGAAAACATCTTTGTGCAACCGTATGGCTGATCACTACATGAGTAATAGTCTCATTAAGAAAAAAAAATGTTGAAAGTTACCAATGCTGTTGTAGTGGATCGCTTCAAGAAAATGGGAGATCGCAAATCTAGGAGGTGATGCATTACTTTCATGTTTTATCATTTTCTAGTACCTGAATCCATCTTTTTGTGAAAAATTTAGTCATCTAACTAGCACTTCTATTGTAGGTAATTGACTCATCAAGGACTCGGGCTTAATATTTATTTTGCCATGGGGACCATATAAATTATTGGTGTTTATCATATTAACTATCAATACCTCAGACTCATCATTTTGGTAAGCATTCCTACATTTCTACTGTTTATGTATTGTCAGTGTACTGAGATTATCATTATGCTTATGAAGTGTGCACTTGGGTCCTTGGTGCTCTAGCTTCGCCCCGGTTCCTAGACACACATATGGTAAACTTCCAATATTATCCTTAAAACCGAGTGCAACACTCCTATAGATGTGAAAATATACAAACTGAGTGAACATGCCGTGGTCAAAGACATAAAGGGTGTGTTTGGTTTGAGGAATTATGTGGTCCATCTTCTTCTCACTCCTCACCTTTTGTATTTGGTTTGTGGAATTGAATGAGTTGATCCATCACCATCTGATTCCTCACAAACTAATAATTTATGGGATGGGTTTGATTTCACCAAAATTTATGGGATGAACTCATAATGCATCACCTCATGAAGCTATAGGCCTCCACCCAACGGCACCAAAAATGGTAGTCCGCTCACATGAGTAGAAGTCAAAGTAATTGAAGCCAGAAATTCTTTCTAGCTAATGACCTCCATGAGCGACAAAAATGGCAGAAGGAATACACCACACACACGCATGCGGAAGTCAAAGTAAGGCCTAAAATTAGAAGCTAATGACCTCCATCCATAGGAAACAATGGTAAAAAAGGCCATTGCTTTCCTTATTGATCTCGTAACCCTCCATTCCTAACAAACAGGTGTTGTACATATATAAGAAAAAGACGAACATGAGGAGGAGGAACATAAGAATATCACAAATTCACAACAGATATGGCCATGAGGAAGGATACACTCTTTTGCCCCCCGCGGCTGTTGGTGTTGCTCGTGCTTGGTTCATTGCTGGCACCATCACACCAGGAAGGCGACTTCGACAAGTGGGTGACACTGCGGCTGACGACTAATGTTGGTAAATCTACTGGTGGAGGTAAGGATCCCGAACTCACCTCTGCCGAGTCTAGTAGAGTTAACAATGGGATCGAGCCCAACAACGACTTGGGCGGCGAAAATGGTTACTACAAGACCATCAGTGAGTCCATCGCCAACATCCCCGATAACAGCACCAGCCGCTATGTTCTCACTCTCCAAGCGGGCACTGTATTTCGTGAGAAGGTGTTCCTAAACAAAAGCAAGCCATTTGTCACCTTCAAGTCCGATCCTAAGAACCCTACCACCATCGTCTGGAACGACACCGCCACCACCTTGGGCAAGGATGGAAAGCCCCTTGGCCCCGTCGGCAGTAGCACCGTAACCATAGAATCTGATTATTTCATCGCGTATGGCATCATCTTCAAGAATGATGCACCATTGCCAAAGCCGGGGGCTAACAAAGGCCAAGCGCCGGCGCTAAGGGTGTTGGGAACAAAGGCAACCTTCTAAAATTGCACCATCGACGGTGGGCAAGTTGCATTGTATGACCAGAAGGGATTGCACTACTACAAGGCATGCAACATCAAAGGCACAGTCAACTTGATCTTTGGCTTTGCTAGATCGCTCTACGAGGAATGCAACATCATCTCCGTGAACAAAGAGATCGTAGCCACGCCCAAAGAGCTGTAGAGTGGCAAGACAAGTGTGGATGCCCCAATGAGAGTGGTTTCTCTTTCAAGAATTGCACTATTATGGGGGAAGCAAAAAAGGTGTACCTGGGTAGGGTATTGGAGGGCTCGCAAGCTGTCTACTCCTACACTGAGATGGGAAATGAGGTTGTGCCCGTTATCTTGGACAGGGGAAACATCAATTCTCCCAAGAGGTAACCACTTACTCCCTCGACTTCTTACTTCCTTTTCTCATGAAAATTGCGTGATCTTCAACTATATACAAGTATATATGTAATGATGTTTGGATTGCATTATGTTTCTTTTGGCACAGTGGAACTTACTACGGTAATTTCAAGTGCTCCGGACCTGGGTCGGATGCGGCTAAGGATGGATTTGCCTTGGAACTCACTGAGGCTCAGATCAAGCCCTTTGTAGGGATAGACTTCATTTTGTTAGGTTGATCTCCACCAACTTGGCCCAATGGCCAATTGGGCCCTTGATCCGCGCCCTGATCGGGGGGGCCCAACCGTTCCATGGTTGGTGGGTTCTCATCACACATCGTCATAAAAAGGGAGGTGGGGGCCGGACCACAAGGCACGAGATTCATCTGCGCTGCCATAGCCCTACCTACATCCTAACACTAAGCCGATATAGAGAGGCGCTGCCAGCGATGGGAAGCACCGCCACCGGCCATCGCCGCCTCTGCACCGCCTCTCTACGACCATGCCTCCACCGCGTCACTGACACCGATGCGATGGCCAACTCGTCTTCCTCGAAGGCGGTCGATGGTTTGCTACCCCGCATCCTCTCTCTCTGTGTTTCCTCGCACTAGATCATGTTCTAGGGTTTACTCCATATCCTAAATGTTAGTTTGACCCGCTAGATCAATGGCTAGTGGATCCTGTTAATCTATCAATGGCTAGGGGATCATGTTAATCTATCAATGGTATCAAAGCCTTACTAGGCGTAGATCTAGCCTTTGGGGTAGATCAGAACGAGAAATTTAGAAGGAGGTGATTCAAATTGGATCGAACTCCAACCCAACCCTAACCCTAACCCTAGAAGAATGGACGGAGAGGGGAGGGACCTACCCGGTTTTCTCACCGCCGTCACCACCGCCGTCGCGCAGGAAGAAGCCCTGCCGTCGCCTCGTCGGCACACAGGGAGATAGCCGAGCCACACTCGTCGCCGCGAGCCCTGGCCGAGGGCGCCATCATAGGACCTCTCGATGGCGGCGCGCTCACCCACTAGGGAGCACGCGCTCCGACGAAGGGACTCGCGATGGCGCTGCACTTCTTCTCTAGCGTCTGCTGCACTAAGGGCTGACAAAGGAGAAAGGGGAATGAGTTAGGGTTTAGGGCGAGCCCCAACGCAGCGCATGTGGGGGACTAGGGCATCATCGCCCAGACCGCTCGACGGCGGCGCACTCAGCCTAGGGCGAGCGCACGTGACGGCGAGGGGACCGGCGGCGGCGCCGCTCCGCTGCACTTTCCTTTCTGTGTGCGGCGAAGAGAGAGAAGACGGGGGAAAATCAAACTAGGGTTTGGTTGATCGGCGTGGCGGGGTTTTTTTATTCCGCCGAGATCATCGCTCGACCGTCCGATCACGATGAATGGCTCCGGGCGCTCGGGCTAGATTTAGCCCAGGCGGGCGATGGAAATCTCGGCCCAGGCATAGGTTGCGGCTGGGCGCTGGGAGAGCGGCCTTGACGACGATGACGATTGCCTTGGGCGATTTATTCATTGGCAGCATGACATTGGCTTGACAAACGTGAGTGTGTTTCAGCCCAAAATGCACAGTAAAGTTTACAAATTGTTTTATTATTTTCAGAAGCAAATTTTTGATGATTTTTTTGTCTAGTTTAAATGTCTGTCAAAATTTGAACCAACGGGATACATTTTTTTCAGAGATTAGATGAGTACAATAAAATGCTTCTAAAAAGTAGATAAATTATTTTTTATGTTTTCGCTGCAAAGTTAATATTTATTATCTTCTAATTAAATTCGAACCAACAGGAGAATTTAATTTGAAGAGTAGTTAAATTTTATTCAGTAAATTATGATATTGTTATTTTTCTGGCCAACGTTGATAATAGCAATATTATAATGATTTTCATGAGTTTTCCATGCATTAATTCTATTTCTTCCCAACGGTGACGTAGAATTAGTGTAGAATAATATTGTATATTTTAATTTTGACCGACGTTAAATTAAGGCATGCAATTATTATGTCATGTTTTCTCACTATCCCTGATGATGTTTTTCAGGACTCAACCCTATGGCATTTATCTCACACATACCGCCTTTTGAAGGGGGCAACTATCGGGTATGGCGAGAGAAGTATGAATTAGCACTTGCGCTGTCAGAAAATCACCTAGCGTTTACCTCTCCGTGTCCTACTGAGCCAATGAACCCGGTGAGGGAAGAAAATGAGACTGATGCTAATTTCACTGCTCGGCAGCGAGATCATGCAGAAGTAAGGATGAAATATGATCTCGAACGTAAGAAATGAGACATTTCAAACCGCAAGTGCTTGATGGTGGCTAAGTCCACTATTTCAGATGCGATAAGGGGATCTATCCCAGAATGTGACACCGCCACAGAGTATCTTAAGAAAGTGGAGAGTCAGTTTACTGGCTCTTCAAAGTCTTATGCTAGTACTCTGATCAAGAAATTGTTCAATAAGAAATACTCTGGTGACGGGATAAGAGAGCATATACTGAAGATGAGCAACACGGCTTCTAAGCTCAAGCCAATAGATTTGGGGCTCAATGATGAGTTCCTGATTTATTTGGTTTTTGCTTCCTTGCTTAAGGAATATGAAATTTTTGTTGTAAATTACAACATGCAGCCCGATAAATGGGATATTAAGAAGCTCATTGCAATATGTGTTCAAAAAGAGAAGATGCTGAAAAGCTCATAGGGTGACTCTGCTAACCTTATGAAGGACAACAAAAGAAGAACTTCAACAAGAATGCCAAACCTCAAGGGAAAGCCCCTCAGAATGACCACCATCAGAAGAACAATAATGCTCAAGTTAAAAAGAATCAGTGTAAATGGTGCAAGAAGTATGGACATTACTAGAGAGACTATCTAGACTTCCTGAAGAGCCATCTGAAGAGAGGCGAGGACTTTATTACATTCATAGATGAGTCCTTGTATTTAAGTTATGCAAAATCTACTTGGTGGATTGATTCAGGTGCAACTATTCATGTTACAAATTCATTATAGGGATTCCGTACGAGGAGGTCCCTGTAAAGAGGAGAAAGAAGAGTTAAAGTTGCAAATAGAGTTGAAGCTGAAGTTGAAACCATTGGAGATCTCTCTCTAGAATTAGATGATGGTTTTATACTTTGATTTCAGATATTCTTTATGTACCCTCTTTGCATAGAAACTTGATAAGTGTTTCAAGACTAGATGATGATGGATATGATTGCTATTTTGGTAATGGCAAATACCATATTGTGTTTAATAATAAGTGTGTTGGTCTTGCCTTCAGACAAGACAAACTTTATTTGTTATCACTTTCTGAGAATGTGAATGATGTGAACACTGAGAATGAGAATGCTTCCTCGTCTATGAATGCAAGCAATAAGCGAAAGAGAGTTCATGATGTATCATCGAAATTATGGCATTATCGTTTATACCATATTTTGAGGGGGAGAATAGAGCGATTGATTAAGAAATCAATTCTTCCGCCTTTAGAATTTTCAGATTTAGAACAATGCATTGATTGCATAAAAGAAAAGTATGTTAAGAAAATAAATAAAGATGTCAAATAAAGCTCAGGAATTTTAGAAATAGTTCACACAGACATCTGTGGTCCTTTTCCTGTGAAGAGTGTCCATGCTTATGATTCATTTATAACATTCACAGATGATTATACTCGTTTTGGCTATATTTATCCAATTAAAGAAAGATTAGAAATATTGAATAAATTTAAGATATTTAAGGCTGAAGTAGAAAATCAGCACAACTTAAAGATTAAGGTAGTAAGATCCGACCATGGGGGAGGGTACTACGGTCGACACACCCCATATGGCTAAGTTCCTAGACCCTTTGCAAGGTTCTTACAAGAAAATGGCATAGTTGCCCAGTACTCTACACTGGACGAGCCTTTGAATGGAGTAGCAGAAAGATGCAACCATACCTTAATGGATATGGTGAGAAGTATGATAAGCTACTCTACACTACCGATAAGTTTATGGATGGAGGCGTTAAAACCCACCATTCATATTCTTAATCGAGTGCCAAGCAAGTCGGTGCCCAAAACACCATATGAGTTGTTGACAGGAAAGCAGAACCCTCACTTAATTATTTACGTGTGTGGGGTTGTCCAGTTGAGGCCAAAGTTTTTAATCCAAACATAGGGAAGCTAGACTCTAAGACAGTCAGTTGCCATTTCATTGGCTATTTAGAAAAGTCAAAAGGTTATCGCTTCTATTGTCCTGATAGACATACGAAGTTTGTAGAAACAAGACATGTTGTGTTCTTGGAGGATGATATGATCAGGGGGAGCATGGTAGCCCGAGAAATTAATTTTGAAGAGAAGCGGGTACACGTGCTCAATCCGATGGTTCAGGAGCCATTCTTCACGCTACTGTTGTTGTTGTACCAACAGTGCAAGACACTATAGTAATAGCACATGTTGTTAGTTCTCCTATGGCAACAATGAATGAACATGAGGAACCTGTCGTTCAGTATCCCAAAGAACCCGTTGTCACACATGAGGAAGAGCAGCAACAGCCTCATATAGAACAAGCGTCAATTAACGAGGCCCCTAGAAGGTCTCAAAGAGTCAGAAGATCAACCATTCCTGATGACTACGAAGTCTATGATT